ATCCTTGTTCCGGAATTAGAAATATAGATTTTGAAAATCTTTAGTCGTCTTAATCGTCAAAGAAAGTGACCCATGATTCTCATTAAGTGTTTGTTTCGTACAAAATTATAATGTCACATGCACATCACTCCTAAAATCATATGCCAATTGTAAGGGTAAATGATACTTTATATCTTATAAGATTTTTATAATTTTAATTTATACGTGAAGATTTTAGGCCATGTTTGGTTTGATTTGTGTCTTAAAAAATCGTATTCGAAAACTGCTTTTAAGAAGAGTTTTAAAAAAAAAAATCATGTTTTTTGCGTCGCAGAATTTACTTGGTTATATTATTTCAAAAATAATTTTACGGAATAAAAAATATTAAAACTTATTTTGATAGTAACTCAAAAAATAATAAAAAAAAAAGAAATATGGTGGTTGTGAAAGTGTGCTGGTGGTGGGAGACGTCATGGTGTTGGTGATGGTATTTTCTAAATTCTGAAAAAGGTTATTTTTAAAAACACACAAAATAATCATAATTTGTTTTTTAAATTTATCTATTTTTTGTTCTCAATTTTTAAAAAAATAAAAAATAGTTGATCAAATAATTTTTCTCCCAAAAAATTATTTCTGAAAACAAAAAAAAATTTCTAAGATAAAATTTTGGTAGCACACCCTCAATCAGCCGAAAAGGTTTCNTTATTTCTGAAAACAAAAAATAATTTCTAAGATAAAATTTTGGTAGCACACCCTCAATCAGCCGAAAAGGTTTCAATGTAGTCAAAAAAAAAACAAATATTCTTTGGATGTCGCACCAAGCATGTGTTCCACTTTGGATGGACCGTATGTCTGATCCCATTTAATATTATTTTTCTTCAATTTTTTTGTCTAGCCTATCATCCACAATTAATAAGTGACCGAACCACTTTTTTAAAATGTGGTTGGAATAGAGCTTATAGTTGAACGGGCTCGACTTGAACTTAAAAAACATATTTTTTTAATTGAGTTTATAAAATTGTTCAAGTTTGACTTATTTAAAAAATAAGTTGAGCCCGAGTATTTGGGCATAAGCGAGTCGAGTCTGTCAAGTTTGAATCATGTCTGTCGGTCTCATTTTTTAAACAAGTCTAAAAAATTGTTTAAATTCAGCTTCTTTAAATAACGAACTGAGCTTGAATGAGTTAAAAATAAGACGAACTTAAAGTTAGATCGAGTAGCTCGGTTTGATTAACAACTCTAATCTAGGAAAAATGAAGAAAAAAAATCACATAGTTGTGGGAGTAAAATCAAACAACTTTCCTATCATATTTGTAAAATCACATAGTTTTGCGAGTAAAATCAAACAACTTTCCTATTAAATTTGTAATGGACCTTAATATCCGAGGCGATGTAAAATTAATCACATAGTTTGGTGTGTCATGTGATAAACATGATAGTGGAATGAACAATGTGAAAAAAGGTCATAGTTAAGGGGGATTAAAGTGTAATTTATCATAGTTAAATAAATTAAACCTTGATTATAAATTTAATTAGTATTGAGGCTACTAAATAGTGGATAACGGGCTTGAAGATTCATCACCATCGCTTAGCAATCAAAACAAATAAGAATCTAATAAATTGAATACTTAACTACATACACATGCACAAACATACATACTCTCATACATATATGCATTGGGTTTCAACTGAATTTTAATTTTTTTTTGTGTTTGATATATTATCTTAATTTTATCAACTCAAAGAAAAAAAAAATTATTGAAGTGTCCACTCCTAATATTGAATCACACCTAAAATGGTATGTTAATTGCACTTTATCCCACAAAACTTATGATGATGACCCAGCCGAGAAGGCGGTCTATATTCAATGCTGTGGACTCAATTATTCCTCACATCCATTGCCATTCAGTCACGGAATTTTTCAAAAATTCCACTAACCCCCTAGGTTTTGAAAATTTTATGCTTCTCCTTGTGTTTGAAAAATCTTATTATATACAGGTATTGTCACTTAATGTATGCCAAAAAAACTATAATATTTTTTATATTTAATAACAAATATATATATCATGCATGATATATATATTGCCCAGAGACTTGATGGTGTTTGATCTTAGTCACACATCATGCATGCTAGGTGTTAGTAACACATAATTCCCATCCCTCAGAAGCCTAACGAATTTGAGGTGTCAATGGAGTGATGTTAGGTCATATTTAGAATATGTTTTTTGAATTTTTGTTGTGTTTGTGTCATATTTGTATTAGTAACATACAATTCATTTTCTAATTAATCATGCATTCAAGTAGGACCCAGTGAGTCTCTCATTTATTTATGGTGAATGATTCGCCAAGAATAAAATTAAAGAAAGAATTAATGTACTGTGGAGGATCTGAATCTATCCTAACCATTTGGGAACGAAATTGACGGTTACTTCACACTTTCCCTCCCTATAATAACGTCTTAAAAAAAAAAAGTAGAATCGGTTACATAGATGGGGCCTTTCCCACCAACTTTGATCGGCTTGTGCCCAATCTCAGTTTCAACAAATGAATTGATCAGCGACAGGTTGCACCAAATCCTGCAATCTTTCACTTATTGTTGAAGTCTCTGTGCCAATTCTTGAATATAAAGCCTGCGAAATATTAATCAAACTAGTAATATTAATATTTATGAACACACATTATTAAATAAATGTAGGAATTGCAATGTGGAACTGGCAGCTGAAATGATTATAATTTTCGATGCTGGCAATGTGAAGTAATTCAAGTAGTCAAGAGGATAATGTAAAAATTTTAATAGTTCAATGAATAAAGTAAAATCGATACCCAAGTATGATTTATTCTCCTATTTATTTCATGCACACTTTACTCTATATGAAATAGTAGTCATGAAGATTAATTTTTTTTTTTTTCAAAGACACCCAGTGTGGGTGAGGGGTTTGACAGAACCCCTACCTGTATATATAAGTAAAAGGAAAAAAGTACAAGGAAGGAGGACATAGAACCAAACCTCTAGAAGTACAAAGTGGGAGGATCAAAGCAAAAGCGAGGTGGTGACTCACCACCAAAAATATAAAAAAAATAAAAATAAAAAATAAAACTCAACGACAAACGTGTGGAATATGTTGAGCATCCAAGGCGAGGATGTCAGCAATCCCATATGGAAGGGATGACGAATAAGGAAATCACTGATTGAGCTGCTGAGAGCAAATCCAATTAACCATGAAGTCGGCAGTCACGAAGATTAATCTCGACGAGGTTGTTTTTGATTCGCAGGGAACTATTGGAATTACGGTTGTAATCAGGAATGAATATGCGACTTTGTCCAAGAAAGACACACACATCTTTTACAAGGACATTTTTTTGGAAGGAGACTCTACCACTGTCATGAAGCTGATATCAGAGACCGTGGGAAATTTCAATCCTATGGGCTCCATGTTAGGGACAAAAGAGTCACTTCTCAGAGTTTCAAAACTTCTCTGTTCTTAGAATCCGGCACACAGATAATAGAGTGGCTAATCTATTTACTCGTAATGTTCTTACTATTGATAACATTTATGTATGGGAGAAGATGACACTTAATTTCTTAATGCCTCTCCACTTCTGTGATATTGATAATCAATAACATTATATCATGGCTTTAAAAAAAAAAAATAGTAGTTTTGAAATTGTTAAGGGTTGTTCAGTGCCTGAGCTTTTAACCTTTGACAATTCAGAAATTTCAGGTTCAATATTTTTCAAACCCCAAAGGAACAATCACCATTGTTCTTTGGGAGACATGTTTTAAACCCGTTATGGCTACAATGACTAATATCTGAACTCGAGGAAGTAGTCGACGCAAGACTGAACAACTTTTAGTAAAACAAAATAGCAGTCATAAAGTAAGGAAGACTGGAAGAGAGTATAAACAGACCTGTGAATAAATGGAATAGAATGTCCTTGAACCCAGAGTTAAATTGATAATGGCTAAGCAGATTATGAATTTGTTGATCTGTAAGGTTTAAGTCTGTTTTGGTCAGATTGTAGAAGTCTAATCCAATAAAAAATTTGTTTTTAATTAGAGAACATGTAGTTACATTAACAACATTTACATAATTTGGTGACAACTATATAATACTCGTCTTCTTTTTTTCTTTGGTTGAAAATTTATTAAAAAACAAAAGGTGTAAATAATGATTAAGATTAAGATTATGATCATGAGGATATGATATGGTGCTAATGAATAGTCATTACAAAATCCTTTGTATCAATTAAATCAGCGTGCAGACTTTTACTCCATATATTCCTAAATATGCGGTGTTTTTCACAATTTTTTTTATTCCATAATATCTGACGTTCAATGAAATCAAAACAAAATTAATATTTTTTCATCAAAATTTACCTTTATCCATGTTTCAATAAGTGCTTAATAACTGTACACAATAATTAGTTTTTTTAACTTTTCAATGCATCAGATTAGGTGTAGGCTAAGTGTCTTTCATATTCTTTTCCTTCCCAGTACATATAGAATAAATGTATTTTTATCTTGTGCAATTATTTTTTACTTATATTAGAGTTATTTAATAATTTCCTTAATCCATGTACAAAAACCTTAAACGTCACATATTTAAAAAGAGCAATGCTATTGGAACTTAATTTATTGACTTAATTCATTATGACCTTTAGATTAACAGTGGGCTCCATCAAACATTAGAACTTGGTGTTTATCCAATGATTCCTATGCAGCAACGTCATTAGATTAACAAATTATATCAAAATTTTAAATTCAAATAACATTTTCCATTTAAAAATGGAAGGAGTGTTTTATAGTCCATGCATGTCACCCTATACGATGTTCACTAAAGCCCGCAAAACAAAAGAGATATCATTGTTTATTGGAAATTGTAGATTCTCTCTCTCTCTCTCTCTCTCTCTCTGCATACTCATATACCCAAGCAAAAAAAACCCTAATATAAGAGGTGTCGTCCAACCTAACTGCCCCAACTTGATAACATATGATTCTTCTTTTGTGGACTTTTATCGTCATGGGTGCTATGAGTTCTTGCCACAGAAGCTCGCAACGACCATCAAACAACCAACATCAGGTGAGTAACAAAGATTTGGTATGTTTATAGTCTTATGCTAATCTTTTTTTCTTTTCTTTTCTTTTTGGGAACAGTGGTATGGTAGTCCAAGCTATTTGTGTGATGCTTGCAAGTATCCGGTAAGTATGGATCCTGTTGTAGGTGAATTTATTAAAAATTTTAATCTAAATGAAAGATGAAGTTGTGAGTTGGAGGTCATGAGTTCGAATTGTGGAAACAACATCCCTACTTGCAAGGATGAAATTGCGTACATCTAATCTTTTCTACGACCCTTCAATGACAATATTCTCGTGAGTACGCCCCTTTTAAAAATAAAATTTACCATNGTTGTGGAAACATCATCTCTGCTTGCAAGGATAAAATTGCGTACATCTAATCTTTTTTAGGACCCTTCAATGACAATATTCTCGTGAGTACGCCCTTTTTAAAAATAAAATTTACCATCATTAGTTCCCCACTTTTACTTAGTAAGAATTTCTTGCAGGCAATATAATTAGGTCGGACCCAAAACATTTATTTTATGAAAGATCAAATTAATGGTAGAGGACATGGATGACCATGACATTAACAATATTTATTTTATACTCTTCTGAAAATTGATAGAACAATATGTAAGGTAAAGATTTGAAAGGGTTGGTGTGGTAGATATTATTTTTCGAATTTTGTAATAAATAATTTATTAGATTCTAAATTAAATTCATATTCTTAGTGGATTTTTCTTATAGGCCGAACTTGGACATACTTGGATTACTTTTAAATTATATATGATAGCCTAATTTTATAGTTGATCAATGAGGTGAAAGGGATGTGTTGTTGACCTTTAGGGGTCGTTTAGTAGCTGTGTCAATAACTCAAATGTCTCAGGTTCAACACTTTATATATCTCTTAAGAGTTTGTCACCCTCATTTGTCAGGGATATGTTCTAAATCCACTCGAGTTACAGTGGCCATTATTGGAGCTCGAGCAAAGCCTCCACACCCTGTAGCCAAAAAAAAAAAAAAGAGGAATGTGTTGTTGGATTAAACATTAACAGGGTCCAAGCGGGAAAAAAAGAAAAAGAAGACAATTGTATAGCTAAAATTCAAACATGACAAAGTTTGTACTATATTAATCTTGAGTATAAGTTTGGTTTTCGGTATTGAATTTATATTTATAGATAATCTATGTGACAGACACAAAATTTTAGAAAGCCAATAATCAAACTTTACAATGTATGCAGTGGAGAGATGTACAACTTATTCACTTTAGCGATGGTCCGAATATTTGTCATCGTTGCCGCTCTACTTCTATCATGACAAATCAAGACTGCAAACCACTTATTCATGACGTGCATCAATTTTTCGTAACGAGTGTAAGAATTTACGGTATTCTCAATAAATTAGTTTATATTTTGAAAAAGGGGGAACAGTAGCAAAATGTCACATTGAAGAACAGTGAAAGCAACAATGCCAGAAGACATTCATCAAAATAAGAGTCTAAATTGTTTTTTTCTTCTCATAATAATAGGTTACAAGGTGTTCACAGATTGGAGGAAAAATTCAGGTGCTAAAAAAGACCAAGAAGCAAATTGGTGGGAAGGTTCCAGGGATTCTACTTTTGTTTGGTCTACCTAGGTAAATTCTCATCAATGTCATGATATTTATTATAACTTAATTTGGTCTTTGATAAGAAAACGAGTATGTATATGTGCCTCTTCGTAAAAAAAAAAAAAGTATATATATGTGAGGTTAGTAGTTAGTTTAATGATCACTGCTGCCACTGTTGGACTATAAAGTTACAGATTCGAATCTTATCGTTCCCCTCCCCTATAATAGTACCTAACAAAACCAAAAAAAAAACTTGATTTGAAAAAAGAAAAGAAAAAAAGAGTGTATATATACTTGTGATGTTTATTTTTTCCTACTTGACCTTAGTTTTTTCCTACTTGACCTTAGTCCTAATGTTTATTCGTTCTGGCTATGTATCTCCATCTTTTTCATTGACCATTGAAACTTCCGATAATAAAAAATATAAATCTATTGTTGTTGTGACTGTAGTTAAGGGCAACTTTATAATCTTGGGCAGAGATAGTGTTTTTAACTCGAGGAGATTGGGACAATTACTTTAACTCAATAGTAGTTCTACACATAGTTTTCCTTTCAAGTAGTTTTGAATTTGCTTGAAAGTTTAAAATTTATAATCCAGCCTACATGCAGGGTGATGACAGGAGCAACCCTAGCACACGAAATGATGCATGCATGGATGGGGCTTCAAGGTTATCTTACACACACACACACACATACACATACACACAGTATATATATCATTTTTTGAGAGATGTGAGAAGCCTTTCTTCCCACTTTATTAACTAGCAATGGACAACGTGAATTGAATGCATGTAAACAAATCTAATATTATTATTTTTATATGTGTAATTAAATTAAATAATATATTAGGTGTCAAATAATTAATCTGTATTTTAATTATTGATTTATTCTATAAATTTTTGAGTACCTAACTTGTCATTTATTTATGTATCTCTTCGACCCTTTTATGAATTTATACATCTAATTATATTATAGAATTATTAATTTTTATTTTGTTAAATAGATTGATTAGATCACTTATAATATATTATATTATTAATTACTAAAAAATAAAATATAACATACATTTGACTGTATAATTCAAGTTGGTAACTACATGTGTATAATAATTTAACATATATAGAACTTTACTTCTTCATATAATTATATATAATTTTATATAATTGTACTAATAAATAAGTTCAAAAGAATATAGAAGTTTATATAAAAGAACTCAAAACAAGTGGAAAGTTAAATAGATATAAAAAATAAAAATTAGATGAAAATATATAGGTATGTATAATTGACTTTATCATAATAATTAAGAATAAAATAGGAAATTAAAATTTTTTCACAAATGCTGACATTTATAAATAGTATAGATTAATAGAATTTTTAATTAATTAATTATAAAGTTAGGCATCTTCAAGCAATGCTTGGCCAATATAACTGCCATTTTTTTTTATCTCATTAATTAATCACTCTTCATTTAATTTTTTTTAAAGAAAATTAATTTGAATCTCTAATAAACTTTAATAATTCTGTAAGGATTCATGTTGGTGGGGTGGTGGGGGTGGGGGTAGGGGTGGCAACAACAGTAGTGATATTGATGGTAGGGCGATGGAGGTGGGAGTAGGGGTGGTGATAGTGGTGGTGGGGCGGTGGGTGTAGTGGTGTTGGTGGCGGTAGTGGGGTGGCGATAGTGATGGTGGTAGTAGTGGTGATGGTGATGGCGATGGTGATGGTGATGGTGATGGTTGTAGTGGGGCGATGGGGGTTGTGATGGTGATGGTGGTGGTGGTGGGGAGATGGGGGCGGTGGGGGTAGTTGTGGTAGTGAGGTGATGTGGTGATGGGGGTGGTGAGATAATTCTAAACACTATTTTTTTTAAGTACTTATGAGAAGTTTTATAAGTCTTAAAAGACTTTTTAAAAAGTTATCCCAAATATACTTTTAGGAGTTTATTTTTCTTATTAATTTTGGGGTGTTAATATTAGCTGTCGGATTAATTTTAAAATAAATTTAAAGAGATCTCAACCGCAAAAAATAAAAATTATTTTATTTATCTTTTGAGATTCAAATTTTATTATATTTTATTATATAGATATGTGTATTCTAACCGAGTCGAATTTCTTGAATCAGAATTGTATATATCCATATTCTTATTTGATTTAAAGATATTTAAATAGATTCAGATAAACAAATAAAATATTGGTCTACATCCGATTAAATAGATTCGGACTGAAATCTGGTATAATGAGAGGCCTTGATCTATAATGTGTAAATTGGGAAACATTTCCGGTGGTTTCCCTCCTAGCTAAGATGATTTTAAAACTTGTTTGACAGATTGGTATCGTCCTTTTGCTCTGGATAGGAGAATTGAAGAAGGTGTATATGCGGTTGGAATCTTTTTCCGCTGGTGATGCGTTTGAGAGCTGGCTGAAGAAATATAGTAGTGATTGCATAAAGTATGATTCTTCTCCACTTTATGGTGCTGGATACAACATGGCCAAAAGAGCAGTTGGAAGATATGGCCTACAAGCTACACTCATATATATTGCTCAAACGAGAAGGCTTCCGGGCTAAGGTTGAGGAGAAGGAAATGACATATATAACTAGTTAAAGCTCAATTTAAACAGTTTGATCCTTACTATTATGACTGAAAGTTGGCTCATTGTCTCCTCCTATGGCAATTATATTTATTACAATTGTGATACCAATAGCAATATGATGGCTTAGTAGCAAGACACCATCTCTGCATGATGTATTCAATGTTACGGTTACCACCATGTTAACAATGTCATGTTGTGCAATAGTCTAATTAAAAAATTAGAAATTAAATAAAATAGACTTCACTTCGTTACATGGACGTTGACGATTCATAAGGTTACATGCCGACTCTCTCTTGTCGAACAAGTAATACCCGAGCTTCCCAAGCCGAGCACAATAGAATAGATCTTCACCAAACCGAGGACGACCCTCGGCATGTTTACTTATGAAAAGTATTATTTTGCTACATATTAGAGTATCCCTAACCTAGACTTAAATTTGAGTCAACACGCGAGTAAAAAAATTAATTTGATAAAAAGGGCACCAATGAATATACTTAAATTTAAAAGAGGACAAACTCAAATTTAAAAGTTGGTGAATATGACCATTGATGAATCTTTAAAAGAGAATGGCCGAATTAGGATAATTTGGTAAACAACCAAATTAAATTTCAACAGATAGTACAATTGTATACTAATTATGATTTTTAAAAAAAAAATTAAATTTTTATTTGTTATTTTATTTCAATAAATGTCATAATACAACATCAATTTTGGTTATAAAATTTAAAATATTTGATATTCTATATTTGATTGGAGTATTTTTTGTCAAAAAATAATATTTTAACCTTTAGGGGTCTAAGTATTACATTTCTACAAACTTCAAGGAGTTTGAGTGTAATTTATTAACGGATATACTAACAGATATTGACGACAGAAGTCTAAGTATTACACGCGTACAGCCCTAGAGGGTCTGTATGTAATATTATAAATATTAAGGAACCTGAGTGATTAAGTGACAAATTTTAAGGAGTGTGAGTGTCATTCTCCCAAAAAATAAATATTCTTTATCTTTGGTGACAAATTAAACGGAAAAACAAAAGCTAGTGGGAGGTAGTTTCAAACGGCTGTGAGAATATTAAATGGTTAGGTGTAGGTTGAAGCATTTCTTGATAGCAACGGTATACAGTACACTACATGGGACGAGGATCGAACCCCACACATATAAATGCCACACCAAGAATCTTACAACTTCGGCTGGACCGTATGCCCGATCCCCTCTAACATTTTTTTTCTTCAATTTCTATGCTTGATTGATCATCCACAATTAATAAGTGACCATCCCATTTGTATACAATGTGTCTAGGCAAAGTGGAAAAAAAACAATCACATAGTTAGAGGAGTGAAATCAAACAACTTTCCATTAAATTTGCAATGAGCCTGAATAACTGAGACGATGTGTAAGTAATCACATAGTTGAGTGTGTCATATGGAAAACAAGATAGTTGGGTGTGCCATGTGCAAAATATAATAATTGAGAGGACAATGTGAAAAGGGTCATAATTGAGGGGATCAAAGTATAATTTACCCTAATTATATATATTAAACCTTGATTATATATTTAATTAGTCTTGAGCCTACTAAATAGTGCTACATATATTGCTCATCAGTCATATTCATCTTATTCAAGATGTAATGAATCCATACATAAATAAGGTCTAGAATCGAAAATTCTGATAAAAAAGAATAAAAACAATACATTAAATTAAAATAATTATTTTTACACATATCACTTTTTAAATGAATATCAAAAATGCACCCAAATTGTCAAGTCCCCTCTACCAAACAAACAAAACAGAAAATTCTAATAAAATTCAACAAAAGGGTGCATANAACATTAAATTAAAATAATTATTTTTACACATATCACTTTTTAAATGAATATCAAAAATACACCCAAATTGTCAAGTCCCCTCTACCAAACAAACAAAACAGAAAATTCTAATAAAANGGTTCAACACTTTATATATCTCCTAAGAGTTTGTCACCCTCATTTGTCAGGGATATGTTCTAAATCCACTCGAGTTACAGTGGCCATTATTGGAGCTCGAGCAAAGCCTCCACACCCTGTAGCCAAAAAAAAAAAAAAGAGGAATGTGTTGTTGGATTAAACATTAACAGGGTCCAAGCGGGAAAAAAAGAAAAAGAAGACAATTGTATAGCTNAATTCAACAAAAGGGTGCATAGAGAATGATTTTGTAATTTAATTTACTCAAAAATAATGTCTGTAATAATCTTGATGACGATTTGATTTCGAACATTTAGCCTTAACAAGAGAAAGAACAATTTTTATTACTTTTGAAATTCAAGATACGTCCAAAGTTCTAATTCTACTTCTGCTATGCAGCCATCACGAACCTTGATTATATATATTAAACCTTGATTATGATTTTATGGTAACCGTAAAAAAAAAAAGGTTACCATAAAATCAAAATTACACAATTTACCCACCGAAATTGAAAATAGTAACATNACGGTTACCATAAAATCAAAATTACACAATTTACCCACCGAAATTGAAAATAGTAACATAAATTGTTAAAACCAAGATCAATGGGTCTAATTCTCTGTGTTAGTGAAATAGGGGAGTGACAATTTGGTGGTGTCTTTGGTGAATGGTTAATCTATTTGATGGGTAGTGGTGAATAACTTAATCTATTTCATGGGTAGTGGGTGAATAAGTTAACCTCTACCTACATACACAACAGAAGCCACACCANGCCACTGTTGGACTATAAAGTTACAGATTCGAATCTTATCGTTCCCCTCCCCTATAATAGTACCTAACAAAACCAAAAAAAAAACTTGATTTGAAAAAAGAAAAGAAAAAAAGAGTGTATATATACTTGTGATGTTTATTTTTTCCTACTTGACCTTAGTTTTTTCCTACTTGACCTTAGTCCTAATGTTTATTCGTTCTGGCTATGTATCTCCATCTTTTTCATTGACCATTGAAACTTCCGATAATAAAAAATATAAATCTATTGTTGTTGTGACTGTAGTTAAGGGCAACTTTATAATCTTGGGCAGAGATAGTGTTTTTAACTCGAGGAGATTGGGACAATTACTTTAACTCAATAGTAGTTCTACACATAGTTTTCCTTTCAAGTAGTTTTGAATTTGCTTGAAAGTTTAAAATTTATAATCCAGCCTACATGCAGGGTGATGACAGGAGCAACCCTAGCACACGAAATGATGCATGCATGGATGGGGCTTCAAGGTTATCTTACACACACACACACACATACACATACACACAGTATATATATCATTTTTTGAGAGATGTGAGAAGCCTTTCTTCCCACTTTATTAACTAGCAATGGACAACGTGAATTGAATGCATGTAAACAAATCTAATATTATTATTTTTATATGTGTAATTAAATTAAATAATATATTAGGTGTCAAATAATTAATCTGTATTTTAATTATTGATTTATTCTATAAATTTTTGAGTACCTAACTTGTCATTTATTTATGTATCTCTTCGACCCTTTTATGAATTTATACATCTAATTATATTATAGAATTATTAATTTTTATTTTGTTAAATAGATTGATTAGATCACTTATAATATATTATATTATTAATTACTAAAAAATAAAATATAACATACATTTGACTGTATAATTCAAGTTGGTAACTACATGTGTATAATAATTTAACATATATAGAACTTTACTTCTTTATATAATTATATATAATTTTATATAATTGTACTAATAAATAAGTTCAAAAGAATATAGAAGTTTATATAAAAGAACTCAAAACAAGTGGAAAGTTAAATAGATATAAAAAATAAAAATTAGATGAAAATATATAGGTATGTATAATTGACTTTATCATAATAATTAAGAATAAAATAGGAAATTAAAATTTTTTCACAAATGCTGACATTTATAAATAGTATAGATTAATAGAATTTTTAATTAATTAATTATAAAGTTAGGCATCTTCAAGCAATGCTTGGCCAATATAACTGCCATTTTTTTTTATCTCATTAATTAATCACTTTTCATTTAATTTTTTTTAAAGAAAATTAATTTGAATCTCTAATAAACTTTAATAATTCTGTAAGGATTCATGTTGGTGGGGTGGTGGGGGTGGGGGTAGGGGTGGCAACAACAGTAGTGATATTGATGGTAGGGCGATGGAGGTGGGAGTAGGGGTGGTGATAGTGGTGGTGGGGCGGTGGGTGTAGTGGTGTTGGTGGCGGTAGTGGGGTGGCGATAGTGATGGTGGTAGTAGTGGTGATGGTGATGGCGATGGTGATGGTGATGGTGATGGTTGTAGTGGGGCGATGGGGGTTGTGATGGTGATGGTGGTGGTGGTGGGGAGATGGGGGCGGTGGGGGTAGTTGTGGTAGTGAGGTGATGTGGTGATGGGGGTGGTGAGATAATTCTAAACACTATTTTTTTTAAGTACTTATGAGAAGTTTTATAAGTCTTAAAAGACTTTTTAAAAAGTTATCCCAAATATACTTTTAGGAGTTTATTTTTCTTATTAATTTTGGGGTGTTAATATTAGCTGTCGGATTAATTTTAAAATAAATTTAAAGAGATCTCAACCGCAAAAAATAAAAATTATTTTATTTATCTTTTGAGATTCAAATTTTATTATATTTTATTATATAGATATGTGTATTCTAACCGAGTCGAATTTCTTGAATCAGAATTGTATATATCCATATTCTTATTTGATTTAAAGATATTTAAATAGATTCAGATAAACAAATAAAATATTGGTCTACATCCGATTAAATAGATTCGGACTGAAATCTGGTATAATGAGAGGCCTTGATCTACAATGTGTAATTTGGGAAACATTTCCGGTGGTTTCCCTCCTAGCTAAGATGATTTTAAAACTTGTTTGACAGATTGGTATCGTCCTTTTGCTCTGGATAGGAGAATTGAAGAAGGTGTATATGCGGTTGGAATCTTTTTCCGCTGGTGATGCGTTTGAGAGCTGGCTGAAGAAATATAGTAGTGATTGCATAAAGTATGATTCTTCTCCACTTTATGGTGCTGGATACAACATGGCCAAAAGAGCAGTTGGAAGATATGGCCTACAAGCTACACTCATATATATTGCTCAAACGAGAAGGCTTCCGGGCTAAGGTTGAGGAGAAGGAAATGACATATATAACTAGTTAAAGCTCAATTTAAACAGTTTGATCCTTACTATTATGACTGAAAGTTGGCTCATTGTCTCCTCCTATGGCAATTATATTTATTACAATTGTGATACCAATAGCAATATGATGGCTTAGTAGCAAGACACCATCTCTGCATGATGTATTCAATGTTACGGTTACCACCATGTTAACAATGTCATGTTGTGCAATAGTCTAATTAAAAAATTAGAAATTAAATAAAATAGACTTCACTTCGTTACATGGACGTTGACGATTCATAAGGTTACATGCCGACTCTCTCTTGTCGAACAAGTAATACCCGAGCTTCCCAAGCCGAGCACAATAGAATAGATCTTCACCAAACCGAGGACGACCCTCGGCATGTTTACTTATGAAAAGTATTATTTTGCTACATATTAGAGTATCCCTAACCTAGACTTAAATTTGAGTCAACACGCGAGTAAAAAAATTAATTTGATAAAAAGGGCACCAATGAATATACTTAAATTTAAAAGAGGACAAACTCAAATTTAAAAGTTGGTGAATATGACCATTGATGAATCTTTAAAAGAGAATGGCCGAATTAGGATAATTTGGTAAACAACCAAATTAAATTTCAACAGATAGTACAATTGTATACTAATTATGATTTTTAAAAAAAAAATTAAATTTTTATTTGTTATTTTATTTCAATAAATGTCATAATACAACATCAATTTTGGTTATAAAATTTAAAATATTTGATATTCTATATTTGATTGGAGTATTTTTTGTCAAAAAATAATATTTTAACCTTTAGGGGTCTAAGTATTACATTTCTACAAACTTCAAGGAGTTTGAGTGTAATTTATTAACGGATATACTAACAGATATTGACGACAGAAGTCTAAGTATTACACGCGTACAGCCCTAGAGGGTCTGTATGTAATATTATAAATATTAAGGAACCTGAGTGATTAAGTGACAAATTTTAAGGAGTGTGAGTGTCATTCTCCCAAAAAATAAATATTCTTTATCTTTGGTGACAAATTAAACGGAAAAACAAAAGCTAGTGGGAGGTAGTTTCAAACGGCTGTGAGAATATTAAATGGTTAGGTGTAGGTTGAAGCATTTCTTGATAGCAACGGTATACAGTACACTACATGGGACGAGGATCGAACCCCACACATATAAATGCCACACCAAGAATCTTACAACTTCGGCTGGACCGTATGCCCGATCCCCTCTAACATTTTTTTTCTTCAATTTCTATGCTTGATTGATCATCCACAATTAATAAGTGACCATCCCATTTGTATACAATGTGTCTAGGCAAAGTGGAAAAAAAAAATCACATAGTTAGAGGAGTGAAATCAAACAACTTTCCATTAAATTTGCAATGAGCCTGAATAACTGAGACGATGTGTAAGTAATCACATAGTTGAGTGTGTCATATGGAAAACAAGATAGTTGGGTGTGCCATGTGCAAAATATAATAATTGAGAGGACAATGTGAAAAGGGTCATAATTGAGGGGATCAAAGTATAATTTACCCTAATTATATATATTAAACCTTGATTATATATTTAATTAGTCTTGAGCCTATAAATAGTGCTACATTTATTGCTCATCAGTCATATTCATCTTATTCAAGATGTAATGAATCCATACATAAATAAGGTCTAGAATCGAAAATTCTGATAAAAAAGAATAAAAACAATACATTAAATTAAAATAATTATTTTTACACATATCACTTTTTAAATGAATATCAAAAATACACCCAAATTGTCAAGTCCCCTCTACCAAACAAACAAAACAGAAAATTCTAATAAAATTCAACAAAAGGGTGCATAGAGAATGATTTTGTAATTTAATTTACTCAAAAATAATGTCTGTAATAATCTTGATGACGATTTGATTTCGAACCTTTAGCCTTAACAAGAGAAAGAACAATTTTTATTACTTTTGAAATTCAAGATACGTCCAAAGTTCTAATTCTACTTCTGCTATGCAGCCATCACGAACCACGGTTACCATAAAATCAAAATTACACAATTTACCCACCGAAATTGAAAATAGTAACATAAATTGTTAAAACCAAGATCAATGGGTCTAATTCTCTGTGTTAGTGAAATAGGGGAGTGACAATTTGGTGGTGTCTTTGGTGAATGGTTAATCTATTTGATGGGTAGTGGTGAATAACTTAATCTATTTCATGGGTAGTGGGTGAATAAGTTAACCTCTACCTACATACACAACAGAAGCCACACCAACAACAAAAGGGTTCGGACAAGCCAACATCAAGAACACACTCCTTATAAATCTTAGTAGCCATTAGAAACAAGCAAAGGAAACCAAGAGACTTACAGCTTCTGAATCAGCTGGCACAGTGAATGCGAGGACGGCAAGAAAGAGAGAAACAAAAGGAAGCCATAGCAGATGTGTGTCAAAGAGAGAGGGGGAAGGAAAATAGAAAGGCTGGTGTAGTTTAAGGTTTGGGTGGATAGAAACACATATATAGAACGAGAAGGTAGAATTGTTTGGGGTTTACTTCTGTGTGATCTTTCAACTGCAATGTCAATCTTCAAANGACAAAAGGAAGCCATAGCAGATGTGTGTCAAAGAGAGGGGGAAGGAAAATAGAAAGGCTGGTGTAGTTTAAGGTTTGGGTGGATAGAANTATGCACATACACACAGTATATATATCATTTTTTGAGAGATGTGAGAAGCCTTTCTTCCCACTTTATTAACTAGCAATGGACAACGTGAATTGAATGCATGTAAACAAATCTAATATTATTATTTTTATATGTGTAATTAAATTAAATAATATATTAGGTGTCAAATAATTAATCTGTATTTTAATTATTGATTTATTCTATAAATTTTNAAACACATATATAGAACGAGAAGGTAGAATTGTTTGGGGTTTACTTCTGTGTGATCTTTCAACTGCAATGTCAATCTTCAAACCCACACTCAGAATTATTGTTTGATAAAAAAGGAGTTCCAAAACTGGCACACTGTCTCTATATGTCTCCAGCATTGCACAGAGATTGTAAATTAATAATCTAACACTTTCTGCGGTCTTTATGTTTGATTGAAAATTGTTTTCTTTCTAGTTTTTTTCCTTTTCTAGCCAAACTTTTTCCATCGACATAGAAAATGTTTCATATATCTGGTATTACTGGTGTATATGACTAATGAAGTATATGACTAATGAAGCAGTTTGAATTATTCTTGTATAACTTGACCTCAATTCTCTTTTTGGCATACATTTAGTTTTTTCTTGTTGCTAATTCGGCTAATAAGATGCTAGCACCTGCTAGGACGAAAGTTACAGCACCATCAGTCCCAGTTGCAGGGGCATAACAAGGTTATGTCCAAGTGGACCATGACCCCTAGGGTGATGTCTCAATAATTGAAACTTTCACCCAAGTTTCATGTCATTTTTATTTAGCTCTATAAAATTTTGAAAATTATAATTATGATAATACATGAATTTTCATATTTTTTTAGTCTACATATGAAATGATAAGCAAAAGAATCATCACACTGCCTTTCTTATAAACTCACAAACAGAGCTAACCTGTGTAGGTCGAGTTGCCTGCGATGGTGACGGTGGAGGCGCTACATACTCCACTGCCCATGGAGCTAGGCGGTGAAAAGGGCCCTGCAAACAATATCACAAATTACTTAGCAAACACAACATAACACACCACTTTGTTCTCATTGTTAAGGAGGAAACAGAAAAATCAGCAAAATAAAATTTGTTAATATTCGTTTGGTAGAAGTAGAAATCTGAGAGTACAGCTACTACTTTTTTTTGATAGGAAACACGAAAATTCTATTAATCACGATAAAGTACATTAGAGAACTGGAAATCCTTGTGAGCAAAGTAAATACAAGAAAGATACAACAAACAAAAAGAAGGGCTAAAAAAACCAATGAGAACAGCATAAGAAGTACGACAAGAAAATGTTTCACCAGAAAAGGAAAGAAACTAGAAAGGAAGCAAAAATCAATGAAACATAATGACTGCAGAAAGTGTTAGATTATTAATTTCATGTATATATTGCCGAATTGATCAATTTTGTGGAGGAAAATTGCTTTGTGATTTTGCAAAAGTTTGTTAGGAACTGACCATTGACATAGTAATTTTGTGGTTTGAAGGGTAAATGTCTTCTTTGTGTAAATAAGCGTGACATGAGTGTTAAATGGAGGGGGATTATCGCTTACATGAACCTAGAAACAAAAGGCTTTCGAATATTGTAACAAATAGTAGGGGGTGCTTTGTGTAAGAGTACTTTCTACAAATTTGTGAAATCATGTATAAATCTAAGCTATGCTCCAAGACATTTAGATGATGCCGCTATATTGTGGGCCTAAATAGATATTTGCATGCTAATATCGACTTCATCTTTTCTTGTGGGGTTACACATATTAATAGATTTAATAAATATTATCGAAATTTGTTCATGCATTGTTGACGATCAAAAAGAAATAGGTTAGATCTGTAAGGATATGACCGCCATTAAATGCTTTGACAGACACAGAGAAGGGCCTTCGTATAAATCAAATAGTTTGAATCTAATAAGAATCAAGCCAACACCTTCTAGGTTTGGATTCCTTCTATAAATAATTATTGGTTACTTTCAGGATACCTATGTGAATGTGATTATCTACAATGGTGGTAGCGATAGGCGCGACATTGCCTTTTCTGCTCGTCTTTGGATTCTCCTTGGTGTATGTGTTGTCCTAGCTAGTATTATGCAGTCTGTGCTATTGCATATATTTACGACGGGACCAGGGTGAGGAGAGTGCACCACCTGTACTGGGGGATTCCCNGCAATTATATTTATTACAATTGTGATACCAATACCAATATGATGGCTTAGTAGCAAGACACCATCTCTGCATGATGTATTCAATGTTACGGTTACCACCATGTTAACAATGTCATGTTGTGCAATAGTCTAATTAAAAAATTAGAAATTAAATAAAATAGACTTCACTTCGTTACATGGACGTTGACGATTCATAAGGTTACATGCCGACTCTCTCTTGTCGAACAAGTAATACCCGAGCTTCCCAAGCCGAGCACAATAGAATAGATCTTCACCAAACCGAGGACGACCCTCGGCATGTTTACTTATGAAAAGTATTATTTTGCTACATATTAGAGTATCCCTAACCTAGACTTAAATTTGAGTCAACACGCGAGTAAAAAAATTAATTTGATAAAAAGGGCACCAATGAATATACTTAAATTTAAAAGAGGACAAACTCAAATTTAAAAGTTGGTGAATATGACCATTGATGAATCTTTAAAAGAGAATGGCCGAATTAGGATAATTTGGTAAACAACCAAATTAAATTTCAACAGATAGTACAATTGTATACTAATTATGATTTTTAAAAAAAAAATTAAATTTTTATTTGTTATTTTATTTCAATAAATGTCATAATACAACATCAATTTTGGTTATAAAATTTAAAATATTTGATATTCTATATTTGATTGGAGTATTTTTTGTCAAAAAATAATATTTTAACCTTTAGGGGTCTAAGTATTACATTTCTACAAACTTCAAGGAGTTTGAGTGTAATTTATTAACGGATATACTAACAGATATTGACGACAGAAGTCTAAGTATTACACGCGTACAGCCCTAGAGGGTCTGTATGTAATATTATAAATATTAAGGAACCTGAGTGATTAAGTGACAAATTTTAAGGAGTGTGAGTGTCATTCTCCCAAAAAATAAATATTCTTTATCTTTGGTGACAAATTAAACGGAAAAACAAAAGCTAGTGGGAGGTAGTTTCAAACGGCTGTGAGAATATTAAATGGTTAGGTGTAGGTTGAAGCATTTCTTGATAGCAACGGTATACAGTACACTACATGGGACGAGGATCGAACCCCACACATATAAATGCCACACCAAGAATCTTACAACTTCGGCTGGACCGTATGCCCGATCCCCTCTAACATTTTTTTTCTTCAATTTCTATGCTTGATTGATCATCCACAATTAATAAGTGACCATCCCATTTGTATACAATGTGTCTAGGCAAAGTGGAAAAAAAAAATCACATAGTTAGAGGAGTGAAATCAAACAACTTTCCATTAAATTTGCAATGAGCCTGAATAACTGAGACGATGTGTAAGTAATCACATAGTTGAGTGTGTCATATGGAAAACAAGATAGTTGGGTGTGCCATGTGCAAAATATAATAATTGAGAGGACAATGTGAAAAGGGTCATAATTGAGGGGATCAAAGTATAATTTACCCTAATTATATATATTAAACCTTGATTATATATTTAATTAGTCTTGAGCCTATAAATAGTGCTACATTTATTGCTCATCAGTCATATTCATCTTATTCAAGATGTAATGAATCCATACATAAATAAGGTCTAGAATCGAAAATTCTGATAAAAAAGAATAAAAACAATACATTAAATTAAAATAATTATTTTTACACATATCACTTTTTAAATGAATATCAAAAATACACCCAAATTGTCAAGTCCCCTCTACCAAACAAACAAAACAGAAAATTCTAATAAAATTCAACAAAAGGGTGCATAGAGAATGATTTTGTAATTTAATTTACTCAAAAATAATGTCTGTAATAATCTTGATGACGATTTGATTTCGAACCTTTAGCCTTAACAAGAGAAAGAACAATTTTTATTACTTTTGAAATTCAAGATACGTCCAAAGTTCTAATTCTACTTCTGCTATGCAGCCATCACGAACCTTGATTATATATATTAAACCTTGATTATGATTTTATGGTAACCGTAAAAAAAAAAAGGTTACCATAAAATCAAAATTACACAATTTACCCACCGAAATTGAAAATAGTAACATAAATTGTTAAAACCAAGATCAATGGGTCTAATTCTCTGTGTTAGTGAAATAGGGGAGTGACAATTTGGTGGTGTCTTTGGTGAATGGTTAATCTATTTGATGGGTAGTGGGTGAATAAGTTAACCTCTACCTACATACACAACAGAAGCCACACCAACAACAAAAGGGTTCGGACAAGCCAACATCAAGAACACACTCCTTATAAATCTTAGTAGCCATTAGAAACAAGCAAAGGAAACCAAGAGACTTACAGCTTCTGAATCAGCTGGCACAGTGAATGCGAGGACGGCAAGAAAGAGAGAGACAAAAGGAAGCCATAGCAGATGTGTGTCAAAGAGAGGGGGAAGGAAAATAGAAAGGCTGGTGTAGTTTAAGGTTTGGGTGGATAGAAACACATATATAGAACGAGAAGGTAGAATTGTTTGGGGTTTACTTCTGTGTGATCTTTCAACTGCAATGTCAATCTTCAAACCCACACTCAGAATTATTGTTTGATAAAAAAGGAGTTCCAAAACTGGCACACTGTCTCTATATGTCTCCAGCATTGCACAGAGATTGTAAATTAATAATCTAACACTTTCTGCGGTCTTTATGTTTGATTGAAAATTGTTTTCTTTCTAGTTTTTTTCCTTTTCTAGCCAAACTTTTTCCATCGACATAGAAAATGTTTCATATATCTGGTATTACTGGTGTATATGACTAATGAAGTATATGACTAATGAAGCAGTTTGAATTATTCTTGTATAACTTGACCTCAATTCTCTTTTTGGCATACATTTAGTTTTTTCTTGTTGCAAATTCGGCTAATAAGATGCTAGCACCTGCTAGGACGAAAGTTACAGCACCATCAGTCCCAGTTGCAGGGGCATAACAAGGTTATGTCCAAGTGGACCATGACCCCTAGGGTGATGTCTCAATAATTGAAACTTTCACCCAAGTTTCATGTCATTTTTATTTAGCTCTATAAAATTTTGAAAATTATAATTATGATAATACATGAATTTTCATATTTTTTTAGTCTACATATGAAATGATAAGCAAAAGAATCATCACACTGCCTTTCTTATAAACTCACAAACAGAGCTAACCTGTGTAGGTCGAGTTGCCTGCGATGGTGACGGTGGAGGCGCTACATACTCCACTGCCCATGGAGCTAGGCGGTGAAAAGGGCCCTGCAAACAATATCACAAATTACTTAGCAAACACAACATAACACACCACTTTGTTCTCATTGTTAAGGAGGAAACAGAAAAATCAGCAAAATAAAATTTGTTAATATTCGTTTGGTAGAAGTAGAAATCTGAGAGTACAGCTACTACTTTTTTTTGATAGGAAACACGAAAATTCTATTAATCACGATAAAGTACATTAGAGAACTGGAAATCCTTGTGAGCAAAGTAAATACAAGAAAGATACAACAAACAAAAAGAAGGGCTAAAAAAACCAATGAGAACAGCATAAGAAGTACGACAAGAAAATGTTTCACCAGAAAAGGAAAGAAACTAGAAAGGAAGCAAAAATCAATGAAACATAATGACTGCAGAAAGTGTTAGATTATTAATTTCATGTATATATTGCCGAATTGATCAATTTTGTGGAGGAAAATTGCTTTGTGATTTTGCAAAAGTTTGTTAGGAACTGACCATTGACATAGTAATTTTGTGGTTTGAAGGGTAAATGTCTTCTTTGTGTAAATAAGCGTGACATGAGTGTTAAATGGAGGGGGATTATCGCTTACATGAACCTAGAAACAAAAGGCTTTCGAATATTGTAACAAATAGTAGGGGGTGCTTTGTGTAAGAGTACTTTCTACAAATTTGTGAAATCATGTATAAATCTAAGCTATGCTCCAAGACATTTAGATGATGCCGCTATATTGTGGGCCTAAATAGATATTTGCATGCTAATATCGACTTCATCTTTTCTTGTGGGGTTACACATATTAATAGATTTAATAAATATTATCGAAATTTGTTCATGCATTGTTGACGATCAAAAAGAAATAGGTTAGATCTGTAAGGATATGACCGCCATTAAATGCTTTGACAGACACAGAGAAGGGCCTTCGTATAAATCAAATAGTTTGAATCTAATAAGAATCAAGCCAACACCTTCTAGGTTTGGATTCCTTCTATAAATAATTATTGGTTACTTTCAGGATACCTATGTGAATGTGATTATCTACAATGGTGGTAGCGATAGGCGCGACATTGCCTTTTCTGCTCGTCTTTGGATTCTCCTTGGTGTATGTGTTGTCCTAGCTAGTATTATGCAGTCTGTGCTATTGCATATATTTACGACGGGACCAGGGTGAGGAGAGTGCACCACCTGTACTGGGGGATTCCCGCGGCGACATGCCTCATTGGCAGCCTACTGCCGGAGCCTCCATGCCCCTATTATGGATACCACCACTGATTCGAGGTCTAAACTTGCAACATTTGTATGCTGTTTGTGAGATTTATACATGTGTTGTATGTATAGTGATTTAACTCTAATAGGTTTTTTGTCATTTATTTTTCAGGTCTTTCTGGTGGTGGACATCGCCTGAAAACAGGGGCCTAGTAAATAAATTTATTAGGACTTTTATAGATTATTTGCAACGTGTTGTGAGACATTTGGAATTATATTTATGATCTTGTCAATGCTAGGATGTTTATATATATATATATATGCTTATGAGACATATGGAGTTATATATATGGTCTTGTGAATATTGTTTCATGGTTTTATTTATTGTCTTTCCATTTGTTTCCACTCTAATGTCACATTATAAGATTCATTAAACAATTAAACTTTTTTTTTTATATTTTTTTAAAAAAAATTCTTTTTTTTTTGGGGAGGGGGGAGGGGTAGAGGAGAAGGGGATTTGAACCCTTGACTTAAAGAAGGAAAAATCTTCACAAGGTAAGGAGTACCATTAGACCAAAAACCTATTGGTCAAAAAATTCTCCAGTTTCTCAAAATTGTAACTTGCAAGGCCTCTCTCCCATTTCAATCCAAACACCTGAGACAGTTCAAAAAAACCAAACTCCTGATAAAAAGAGCTGTTGATTCTAAATAAAGTGGTACAGATATCCCATCTTGTTCATATTTTTAACTTTCATCTTGTTGAGATTGCTTAAGTCACAAGGTTTTAAGAGGAATACCTCTTTCAAAAGGCCATTATGTCAAGATGGCAAGATCACGAGTTAGTTAATAGTAGCACAACTGGCAAATATAATAGTATGGAGTTTGGTATTGCATCAAAAATTTATGACTCAAGTACAGCAAGAAACTGAGAAATGTAGGCTGCAACCTTTTAGAGACTGAGAAAAATATAATCCAATTCTTTCTCATTTTATCCCCGTTTTCCTTCTCTGTTGCAAATTTTATGTTATATGGATCGAATTCACACCCCCGGAATGGAAATTCATCTCCCTCGATGGCAGATTCTGGCTCCTTCAGGGAAGCTAATGAATGCAGAGGCCATTCTCTGCAATACTGTTGCACCGCCAAAGAGTGTCTGTTGATAGCTCTATAAATGTCTTTCTCTCTCATTCTGCCACTTGTATGGGTTCCAAGTAAGCTCCCTTCGCTATTCTCTATCTTCCCTATTTGTTCTCTATTGAGCACTGATTTGTGTCCCTCAGATTACCCATAAGTTGCTTTTTTCAATTATGTTAGTGAATTTGGGTGCATGCACGAGTTTCGGTGTATAAATTGTTTTCTAAATTCATGATTTTCTTGTCCTACTCAAATTGCTCATGAAAGGCGACTTTGTGGTATAGTGAATTTGAATTTATCTGTGTAAATTTTCGATGGTTTTTCTTGGAATTTGGGGTGGTGTTCTTCTTTATTTTCTGAGTTGAAATTGGTCAAGAATTACAGAATTTATGTAATCTTTCTATTCTCATTTGGTAACAATCATCAAATATAACTATAGACATGCACCTATGAGAAATAAAGAAAGCTGCTTGTAATTCAATATAGAAAAAGAATAAGAAGAAAATAGCTTGTGCTTAAGTAACATGTCGGTAGGAATTTGGAAGACATTTTGTGTAGGGAGTAAGTGTGAAAAGTCCCAAGAAAGACGTATTTGAGTTCCAAAATGAGCTTCTGTTGGTTGGTTCAGACTTCAGAACATGAAATAGATAATGAAATGGCCCAAGAAAGACATGAGCAAGTAGTTTGTGCCTACGTGAAAGCAAAGAAGCACTTTTGATATGTGCCATCTGTGTTTACTTTCAACTGTATTGCAATAGAGATTTTAGGCCAGAATGGGTTCCAAGTAAGCTCCTCTCTCTCCTTTCTTCGGAAATTGTTTTTTTTTGTTCGAATTAAGCAATTTCTTTTATAAATTGTTTTCAATATGCATATATTTTTTTAATTATATTGCAAATGAATGTGATTTTCAGTGTGAGGTGATTTTTGGATGCTATGAAGTTGCATCTTATCCATATGGATTATTATTCTTACGATTGTGTTCATCAAAATTTTAAAACCCTATCTGAACATTAACTCGATTAAGAGACCGGGTTAATGAGTCATTGATTCAACCGTTGGGTCAATGGTCGAATTGGTTATATAATTAATAACAAAAAATAATTAATGATAACAATGAATATGTTAAAAAATTATAATAACTATTAAAATAACATGTTTTATGTCATAGTAGATGAACCAAAATGACAATTGAAATAACTTGATAAGGTATAAAAAAATTCACTAATAAAAATTGAATAGTTGATGTAAATAGTAAATATGTAGTTCAAAAAAAAAAAAAAAGAAAGAGAACTTAAAAATACGGCATTGCAATACCACATTGAATACCCAAAGAAAGTGAAGACGATTACCTGCCTTATAAATTGACAGCTCAGTTGCTAAGATGGGGGGGAGGGCCTGCTCGGTAGTCTCGTACCCGTAAATATGGATAAGACAAGCTGTGTGGACAGGTGGCTGAGTTTGAAAGTTTTTAAGTAATAAATGTGTAGAGGTTTGAACTAAACCGGTGTCTGCTGTGCGGTGTGGATGTGTGAAACCGTCAGGTTCAAAACGGGTTTTTTGATAATTGTCCGGGTCATTTGTATGAATGATCTAATTTTAAAACCGGCTCGACTAAGAAACCGGTTCACTATTTCTTCGGGTCTAATCAGCTGGGCACGGTCAGGTTTTAAAATAGTGGCGTTCATTTTCGGAATTTTGTGGTTTGGTTGTTTGATTGAAAGGTTAATACTATTTTGAATCTTAAAAGGGTATTTTTTATCAGTTTATTTTTCATTGTATTAATTTTAAATGATCACATTATTTTTTTAAACGGTATTACGTGTCTAAAACGTGATTATTCTGTTAAAAATTTAACGGATTCTCTATATAGGAACTAAAATAACACGAATTGAATAATTTAATAATTAAATTGATAAAATTAATACAATGAAGAGTATACTGACAATAAATACATATTTTAGGAACTAAAAACACTACTAATCCTTTAATTTATGAGTTAAAATATTTGGATTTGGGTTACAAAAGTAAAATGATTGTTGGATTTGTATATTATCGGGTCTTTAGCCAGTGTTTCAATTTATCATTCTCCCTTGTTGAAAATCACAGATGATGAGCCCTCCCTTGTTGAAAATCACAGATGATGAGCCCAGATCTAGTTGGGTTCTTGCCCAATCCATTGAGTAAGTCCAAATTTATTAAAAGGCAGGTCACGTCCAGCTCATGAATTTAGTCCAATTCAGAATTCAAGAAACCCAGAAGATCAGCGTGCGTGGAGAGTAAACATCGGGATAACTATTCGAAGATCAAGACTATCTTTAATTGTAGCTATCCTCCCCGAAAGACTAGTAACCTACCCTTTACGCCACCGTTTCAACTAAAATTCTATGCCTATAAATTGTAAACCCTCTACACATGAAGAACACATGTACATCTCTCACACAACTATCTCTCTCATAGCTACCTCACATTAACCTTACCTATGCGCTCTCTCCCCCTCACCTGCTACTTTATCCTCTCATCAATAAAGTTTTTCGACCACTATCGTCGCCTTCAATGGTTAGGCCACCTCCGCCCAACCACCCAATCTTTGTCTTTCTATTATTTATTGCTTCATTAATTATCCTGCCTCATATACTTGATTGTTGATTGTGCATAAATTCATTTTTGTGCATCATCAATTTAGCACCGCCTATGAGAAACGACTGAGCTTTATACTACCTTTCTATTTTCTTTCAAATCCATGACAATCATAACTAGATCGATGAATCAACAACCTGAAGACGACCCAACTTGAAGGGAGGAGGCTCTGCCTCTTCCTCCACCAACGGAACCACCCACTGTGGCAAATCCTTTGGTCAACCAACAGCTTTTGGAGACCATGTAGTTGTTGGGGAGTTAAAACTAGCAAATTATTCAACTGATGCTCACCTTAGGAGGTGTCGCCCCCTAACAAGCAGGAGGAGCCATACTTTCTCTATTATGGAGGTCCCATAGCCTCTCCACTTAGGGCGTCAAGGCGCCCCTCAACTCAGCGCCCAGTGCCAGGGTGCACCCATACAATACCCGGGCGCCTCTCGCCAAGGAGTCCCCCTTTAGTGCCCAGGCACCTCGCATGCTCCTTTTCCTTATGTATCTGTTCCGCCCCCACACGCTGCCGACCATCTTGGGTAGGAAGATGAGGGGGAGAACTAGTATGCAAATCATAAGAGTTACTATAATGATCCAACAGAGGATGTTCCTAACCAATGGGACGAGAAAATTAAAAATATGCAAAACCAGTTTGGCGATGCCCTCAACGCCATCAAGGCATAGGCGCCAGAAATGGTGGGTTACCTGGTAAGACGTACTGATACTTCATTTGTGGCGAATGTTATCAACTACCCTCTACCCTCAAAATTCAAGATGCCTACCATGAAAATTTTTTATGGTACTAAAGATCCCCTAGACCATCTTCACACATACAAATTTATCATGCAACTCCACAATGTATCTGACGAGATCATGTGCAGAGCCTTCCCTATCACTCTCAAGGGATCTGTACAACAGTGGTTCGCCAAGCTCAAGCCTTCTTCCATCCACTCTTTTGCGGAGTTAAGTAAATCTTTTGTCTCCCACTTCATTACAATCATCAAAGTTTATTGAAATGATCAATTACCCTTTCCCTTCTACCTAGGGGAGGCTCTGAGATGACCCACCGTGAACATGAGAGCTGTAAACTCGTTGATGGGATGATCCCGTATGGCCTGAAGCCTATTTTCTTGCTCTGCAAATAACATGGGTGGAGCTACAATAGACCCAAATGTGTAGTGAATACAAGGGATATGCCGATGTGGCAGTCAAACGTAAAAACAAAGGTAAAACCCTTACCTAGCTTGGTCCTCGGAGTAGTGTCCCACTTCGAAGGCACCAAGTCACGATCTTCCTCAGCAGTCCACTCACCTCCGACAAAGAAGAACATAGATTTTCAACTATGCCAATTCGAAGGCAGCTTAGTAATAAACTTGCCCGAACTCGGGGCAAAGCGGTACTACCCTTGATGAGAAGTAAGATTATCTAGAAGCACGTATGAAGCCAAGAACTCCTCAAAAGGAGGAGAGACTTCAGCACCATGGACAAACCGCCATAGTGAGAAGAACGCCAGAATTACCTTCCAACCATTGGGAGTTAATTTCCCCGGAGCCAATGATAAGTGATCCAGAATCTGACAGATGGATCTAGGTATAGGGAATGTCAATCCTGCCTCTAGGACATCCTCGTAGAAGACGATCTCTCCTGAGGAGTCAAAAGATGCGGGCTCGTTCCTCTCGGCGCGACTGTACATAATAGCTGGAGGGATATGGAAAGAAGAAACAATGTGAACGACATCATCATCACAGTCAATTGGGCTAACAATAGAGGATACTTTCGACCCATCGCCTTCAGCAGTTCCTTTGCCTTGTTGCAAAGCCTGTGTAATATCTACCATACTACCCCTACCAGCTTGAGCACCCGACAAAACAGAAGCCAATAGAAATTGAAGGGGCGCTAAGGTTAACAAAAGGTTACAAACGAGGTAAAGGCGATACCTTGTTTTCCTCCATAGTCTGGTTCAGCGCCAGCCACTCTAGCGGACAGCGCCTCAGCACCTACGCCTAGTCTTCCTACACCTACCCCAACCCGTCATTACCACCACTGGTGCCACCCAATTCGCCACGACAGATGCCCAACCTATAGTCCTCCACGGCCGGCACTCCCAATGCGTTCTTAGCGTTGCCTGATGTGCTTGGCGCATGCCTAGCGCCGCCTGGCTTGCCCAGCATGTGCCTGGCGCCACCTTGCAGTCCCGGCGAATCACTGGCGCTGACCTCTCTTGCTCCAGCGTTGCCCATGGCCTGGGTTGCTCTTACTCGTCCCCAACTGCTTCCTAGCGTCGCCCGCATGCCTGATCTGCTCGACCCGCCGGCATCGCCAAGTGGCAGGTTCCACATGGCGCCGCCATCTCTCGTTGCAGAGCTCCTGTCCAGATCGTGCAAGGCGGCGCCCACTGCCTACGCTGCTTTAGCGTCGCCTGCCTGGGCTGCTCTAGCATCACCCAACACCTGGGCCGATGCACTGAACTGCTGAATCTCCTTACGACTTGCTCCGTTGACACCATCCACTCCAGCGCTGCCTTGGGCCACCCTTCTTCTCTCCATTAATGGATTTTCTCCTTGAACACCGTTCATGAATCCCTCTTCTCCAAATTTCTCCCCACCTTCAATGGAAGGTTCAAACTCTCAAGGAAAGAAGTCACAAGAAAAGAGGAGTAAAGGTGGAGAAGTGGGTTTCCAAGGTAAAGACAAGCTGCCGCGGGGAACAAGGTACTTAGTTTGCTTAGAAGAAGAGCTCGAGCTCACTCATGTCCTCAATCTTTTGTCACTGCAAGGAACAAACTTTTAGTGATACAAACATATCATCCTACTGGATTACAACCTTTTGTGACGAAATTGTTTTCGCAATGGGTCTATGAAGAAATTTCCGTGGAAATCTTGAATTTCAGTGCCAACACATAGATGAGAATTCAATGATTAAAATTTCGTTTCAAAATAGTCAATTTTTTTTTTGTTTTCAAAGAAGCTAAAATGAATCAATGATAGAATTAAAATTCTAACACTTTAATATTTCATAAAGTTTCAATGCATTAACACAATTTTTTTGTAATGTTTCAATGTGTTTTATAATGTTTCAATACATTTCAACCAATATTTTGAAAAAATAATTCTCAAATTTTTTATTCTTTTCCATTATATTTTAAAAACAGGTTGAAATATTTTTGAAACAGGTTAAAATGTTTCCGAAATGGTAAATTTTTATTTTCTAGGTGACCAAAATAAAATTTTGATCCTTTGGATGAGATTAATGTATAAACCAAAGCTCGCTCACAAAATACAGGATGTGTTAATACAACATTGGTCCATACAACACCAATTGTTGTATCTTGTATGTACCACGGTCACATTTGGAGATTTAAAATTGGGCAAGCCTAACACCAAGCCTTGATGTGGCCTAGTTGCCATAGGATATTACCTTTTGGGGACCATCTAGATTCAACTGAATACACCACCAGCACCCTTATATACCTCATTAGTGGACTGATCTACAACATAGTCATCTCTCCATAACTCTTATTGAGCACTGCCTGTGTCTTCTAGTTTCTTCTTAGGTCACCTAGTCTTCTCCTCAGGCCAACTCTCCTTCCATCTCAAGTTTGTGTCATCTCTCTCCATTAGCAACGCACTATCAACGCATCTTTTGTATCTGAATTTTTTTTTTGTTATAGGGTGTTTAAGTTTGCACTGACTCGACCACTATGTGACATGAGTTAGGTTAGAGCATGTCGTTAAGGATTTGGGCGGCCAGACCTTAGAGAGCATGCAAATGAATTGAATTTAAGACCTCCGAGTTACCAAAAGGTAGACTCAACCACTAGACCACCACCCCTAAGGGTTAATTTGGATTTATTATTAGTTTTATGTTGAGAATTTAAATTGAAGGGGTATGACGTGGCTTTACCAGTATCATATATAAATATGGTGTTAATGCATAGTTACTCTAAATCCTATGTATTAATAAATTAGCATGTGGGCCTTTATTGTCCATTCATGGGCATGCCCCATGCACTAGTTGGGTTTCTCTTCCAACCAATTTATAATTGTCACCTTATAAGATGCTTAGTTAAGTGTATCGGACAAAATGGAATATTGTTGTTGTTTATTGAAAAATTATAAAGTGTCTCTCCCATAATGAGAATCTTGAGTAACATGGCTACCATTGCCTACTTAGTCCAAATCCTATGTATTAATAAATTAGTATATGGGCCTTTATTGTCCATTCATGGGCATGCACAATACACTACTTGGGTTCTCTTCTAACAAATTTATAAATGTTACCCTTTTCGTTCTTAAATATCTGTCGTTTAAGATTTTTGCACATGAATTAAGAAAATTATTAAATAACTCTAGTATGAGTAAAAAATAATTGTATAAGACTAAAATACTTTTATTCAATACGTATTGAGAAAGAAAAAAATATAAAAGACACTTAGCCTACATTTAATCTATTAAGCACTTATTAGAAAACAGAAATAAGGGTAAATTTGAAAGAAAAAATATTAATTATACTTTGGTTTCATAAAACAACAGATATTGTGGAACAAAAAAAATTGGATAAAACGATAGATATTTAGAAACAAAGGGAGTACTTTATAAGACTCTCTCTGTCCCTCTTTCTCTCTCTCTCAATGAGAATCATGAGTAACTTGGCCACCAAGAGTCCAAGACTCCCGTGGGATGTCACATTTTTTGCTATTGAAAACATTTTTATACTTTCAAAAGAATTAATGAGATTTTCCCAATTCAAAGAATTATAAAGTTGTGTTTAATCAAGGTGCTATGAGATATTTTGATCTTAGAATGCATAAAATGAAAAGGGTGAATGGCACTGTCACTGTGTATCATACAAGATTCTTAAAATATTAATTTATTACTTAAAAAATTAAAATTCTCACAATACACCTTCAAGTAGTTAAAAAAGTAGCAATGTACCCCTAAAAATAAATATTCATTCTTTTTTGACAAATTTTTTTAATGTATTTGTCATATTATCTAATTTATATAATAGTTAATTTTAAGGGTTTCCAACAAAAATTTAATCCTCAATTTTCTTAAATTGAAATACATTACTTTTTTTTTTTTTGGTGGTATTGAGGTTTTTTTTTACATTAAAGGTTCAATATAGAAATTTCAACACCTTGACAATCGGGGGTCAAAGAAAAGAATAAGGATTAAAGAAAAGAATAAAAAATTAGTTATTAGTGGGAACAGTACTTGAATATATCTTGAGAATCTTTTATAAATATTAAAATGTAAAGTGATTAAGGCAAATGGCTGGGGGCACCGGCCTACCGTGTTGTTTGGTACTTGAATATGGATACGATCATTCATCGTGTGTTTGGTTACCGTGAAATAAAAAATGATAAAAAAAAATAATTTATTTTCATGCTTTGATTTTTTCACAATTAATTAATTTTTTTTCTAGCAACAACAGAAAAAAATGTAAGAAAGTTATGATCTACAACTAACTTTTCATTTTATCTTTATTTTTTTTAAAAATATTTTATTGTTATCAATTTTAAAAATTTTGGTATGAATTTGGTTAAAATACAATTTAGCCTAGAGACATTTGTGCTGATACTTGTCTCAATATTGGGTTAAGAGTTACTTTTTCTTTTAAAAAAATAAATTTTAATTATAATACATATTTTTTTTTTCAAACCGATTTAATATAATTAAAGATAATTTAGACAATTAAAAATTATTTTTTGTAATTTTCCTTTCTTTCAACAATTGAATGCAAATTTTTTAAAACTTTCTCTCAAGTTTTTCGTATTAATCAAATACATGCATGAAAATATATATATATATTTTTTTTTCACTTTATTTTTTATCATTTTCACTTTTCATAATTTCTTTCTTCCTAGTCAAACGTACCTGATGAAAAATGAGATGAAAAGCAGTGTTTTTCTCTATTTGGTTAGAAAGGAAAACTAGGATGGAAGGATAATAGATGAAAGGGAAAATTTCATTTAACACTTTCAGTAGATAGACTTAAATTCAATAACACCCCTTTCTGTTTTTGAAATTTCAGTGACACCTCTTGTTAAGATTTGTCCCATAATGGCAGTGACGGGAGTAGCACTTTTTAGCCAACCCAAAGTCAGCTAGAATTAAAATACCCTTAAACTTTTTAGTTGAGATTTTTATAATCTGTGTGAAATGTTTGAGACATTTATGTTGGAGATTCAACCAAACTCTCCATCTTGGCAGAATATTCTTTTATGAATGTTAGTTAGAGTTGGATTGATTTATTACGAGACTAGTCCACATAGGTTAAGATTTGTAGTAGTTTATTAGGACTACGATTAGATTGTTTTTAAAAGACTTCTTGAAGTATTCTTTAGTTGTAACCCACCGGCAATAGTCAAATTACCATTAGAAAGGAAATGAACAAATAATAATAATATTAATATTAATAACCCATGATTTTAAATCTCTTTGCAAAGAGTGTTCTATTATTTATCTCAAAATTCGTATTGTTATTCACTATTTTTGATTGATATGAAATTATATATATTTTGTTAATTTGACTTGTATTTTGAGATTGATTAGTACATGTATGAAATGTGTTTGAAACATAGTTTGTGAAATATGATTGCTGCCCTATAAAATGTGATTGTTCGATTTGATTATGATCATGCGGGGCTGTGATTGTTTGATATGAGTATATATTTAGATACTCAAATGTCATTTCTCATATCACCAAAATGAACCATGTATGTGATTATGTTTGATAACAATTGAGTTATGTGATATGTCGAAGTTGATTATTGATTCTGTTGTCCATGATTGCCTATCAGTTAAGTTATTTGATATTTAATCATTTATATTTTTTATCGTTGAACATATTATTTCTTATTGTATTGTATAAATCCCTACTTTTAATATTTTTCCGAATAATTTGAAAAGAATGAACTAAAGTTGAGATTTCGGAGAATTAGAGATTTTTAACTCATGTTTTCATTGTAATATATCATTGATGGGTATTCGTTTCAATATTTTGGAGATTATTTTTATTTATTCTCAAGATCATTAGAGAGCTAGAACCATATACATGGGTTTCTACACCCTCATGTCCAAGCAGGAACATCAAGGTGAAATGAGCTAGGGTGGATTTCGGGCAAATTCCTTTATTTAAGACCTGAAAATTGCATTTTTTTACTTTTTTGACAATATTTTATAATTGAATAACTTTACTACTTGAAGTTACAATTGATCGCCGTCAGTTCTACCTCAATCTAAACGATTAGTAATTTTTAGTAGGAAATTTCCTTTGTTGGCAAAATTTGTATTATTGATATAATTATGTGATTAACAATAATTAAATCACACTTGGTTATTTTCTAATTAGTTTTGAAACATTTAAGACTACTATTTTTTTATGAATTAATAGGCCTAGAGCTGGAATCTAAACCGGCATTTGTGAGCAAATTAGCGATTTATTTTTATTATCCTTTTTCGTTTGTTATACCATTATTTTTACCCATTTCCCTTGCATCAATAACCAAACATATTCATGTTAAATATTATTATATTCATGACTTAGGGATTAATAATAAGATTGAGATTTTATATTATAGATCAAAGTATTATATTGCAAATATTTTAACCAAATCACCTAAATTAGATGCGTTCATGAAGTTGAAGCGAATAACCAAGGTTGAAGAACTTAGTTTAAGGGAGGTTGATGGAGATTAAACCAAATTCTCTAACGTGCTAAGATTTATATTATTCTTCTAGTAGTCT